TTTTAGTTTTACAGCAATAAGTTTATTATGTATGCATAGATGGATTGCACTATATATTTTAGAGGGACTATTGTGTTTCATTTTTTTTTCAAAGCCTAAATGAATTCAAATGTCAATACCGAGAGATAAAACTAACTCAATTTTGGCCGCTGTCCTTCCCAAAAAAAGAGGAGAAAAAAGCAATCTTTCTTATAGCATATTGCTGTTGTCTAAAACAATGCGAAATAAAGCTTTAAATAAGCTCTTTTTTTCCGCTGATCAATAAAAGAGTTCGATGCTAATGCAAATGATATGTTTAAAAAAGTAGTTTTAAAATGTTTTATACGTTGAAAACACTCTGTATGTCTTAAAACTTCAAAAACAAACGCTAACTTCCAAAAAACAAGTCTCTCGGTGAAAAAAAGCAATTCTTTCTTAATTGCATTTTGCTGTTGCCAAACAAATTGTGAAATAAAGCTTTAAATGTGTCAAGTGCTCTTTCTTACAGCTGATGATTATTTTTAGTTACGGACCTGAGCAACTGTAGCAAATAGACATTAGCTCGTATAAATGTCCTTCTATAAGTTCACCTTGCTCTTCAGTTGGATAAGGTGCTCTAAAGAACACCTAGCGTCTAAAATTAACCTACCTAAAACACGACCTTGGCCACGAAAAAATCCGAATCACTGTTCTAAGCAGCATTCTATCAATAAATGAATTAAAAAAACTACTGCCAGAATTCTCTGTTAGACAGCGCGGAGTCAGTTTAATTGAGAATTTCTACATGTTGGAAAGAAGTCAAAGATTTCCCAAGTGAAATTTTGCATAACAGTTGAAATGGGTACCAAGTAAAGGCCTACTAGATTACTGGGGCGATTTGAGAACTATCTTTAGAATTCTACGAAAATCGGTGGGTCTTGAACTAACACAGGTGGCGTTGCTTAAATATTTTTTGTTCATTTATAAATGTCAAACGATTTCTGTTTTTGCTTCGGCATTAAATTATACTTACGTCATCATAGAAAAAAAAACAAATGGAGAGAAAATGGTTGCTGTTATACATCTGTTTTCAAAGTTGAAGCAATTTTATTATTGCTCTAAAGTTGCCATTATTGCAAAAAATCAATTATAAGATAGGTAATATTTTCTTTTTTATCTATCGAAATTATGTTAAACTTTTATGCATAAGGAGAAAAATAAAGTGGCAAAATAATCCCCCACTAATCATAATTTCAATTGCTCCGACCGTTATTTATTATTAAAATCATTATTTAATATCCTAGTTCGTAAAGTGGATTTTTTTTAATTAACCGAATTTCAAAAATGTAAAAATTGACATGTTTCTGCTGATAATAAATAAATAACGATCTATTTCTCCTCTCCAAATACACATTCAGGAACTTAAACTCTAAACTTTTTAATCACAGAGTATTCATTAATCACAACCCTTAATATATACTTTCAAAATTCTTGTCAGAAATAAAATAAAAAGAAGTGCATACAGTAAATGTCACAATATTTAAATGAGGAAGGAAAAAACTTCTAGAAATCTTTTAATCCTCCAATGACGAAGGGGGAATCAGAAACATAAAAACCAGTTTGATTGCTGGAGAAATTTACAAGATGTTTCTTATAAACATCTTTCAACTCTTCTTTATATTCTTATTTACTTCCTTATATTTTATGTTGTGAATCCGAATTTCTCTATAACGATGCGGCATCATTTTTTTACTCATTTAAGTATTAACCAATTATCTTTAATTTGTGTATTTTAGTTCACTTTTGAAGACGATTCTAAAAAAATATATTAGTAGTATACGATACTAAACATTTTGCATATTAGCTGTCATTTTTTTGAAAGTGAAATAGTACTATTTGGAACAAGTTAGTCGTTTACTATTTTTTTACGATTTTGATAATTATTGTTTCATTTTTAAGTTTCATCAAATTATAGTGTTAAAAATATTCCTCAACCTAAACTCCTCTTCATGGACTTATACCGAGTTAACAAAAATAACGGCTCATATAATTGTATGATAATCAAACTTTTTTCTAATTTGTGTTAGTACAATACATTTAGTACAATGCAAATTGTGACTTATTTAAGAATGCATGTTTTACTAAATGGCGAAAAATACTACACCATCACATTTTTATGTTTATTATTAAATTGTGTAGCAAATAAACTAAGTTTTTTCTCTCCTTAATTGTGATATTTCAGAAATAGTTTGTCAAATGAGTTAGCTCATCCCAGAACTTGTCTTCATGAAAAGCGTAAGAATGCTTGACTAAGTAAAACGAATATCGATCTCTGGCTTCATGCCAAGGATTTGTTGTTCGCACGAAAGGCGCGGTTTTCTTTTCTTCTTCAATCATAAATAGAAGAATAAAAAAACTTAAACTTTTATTAATACTTTAATTTATACACCAAGTACACCCTGCTGCGCAATTATTAATTAATAAAAATACAACAGTTTTGCCGAATTTCAACTTCTATGTTTGTCTGAAAATTTAAAACTATAATAATGTGTGTGTTAAGATTATTTTTTTTAAAAATTATATTGGAATATTTTATTGTTACACAATTTCCTACGCCTATCATCACAGCCCACACTTACGGATGTGGTTTGTGTAGTGGTTCCTATTTCAATAAATTACGTTTCAATTATTGTAAGTGAGAGTTCTAAATATCAAGAACTTTGTGTTGAGTTTACCATTGTCAAAATTTTTAAATTCATTTAAACCTCAACCTAAACTCCTCTTGAATATTGAAATATACTAAGAAATTTAAATGGCATTTTTAAAAATATGATTTAAACTTAAAATTAAACAAACTTGCCTATTAGAATTAGAAGCTTTGTTCATGTGGCGGACATGCATGGAGATTTCACATTTAAAATTAAACAGCTAAATTCAAAATTATTACTTATTTTATTTTTGTTTATTCTGTGTTTTTATTATTACTTATTATGTTCTTATTATTTATAATTTTCTTATTATTTCGCATTTTTATAATCTCTTATTGTATTCTTATTATTACTCGTATTCTTAATAGTTCGTATTTAATTATTACTAATTCCTGTTCATTATTGCCTAATATTTCGTATTATAAGGTATAAGTAAGTTCGTAAAGTTTTAATTTCTGTGACTGACAAAATTAAAAGAGACAGTCACAAAAGCTTTCTAAATTTCAAACATAAAGAAAAAATTTCTTATATCTGTAAGTAATTATTATCTATTTATATATTATTTATTTTTATTGCTTTCTTCTTTTTAACTTTGATGAATTTAAATCAATGTTGATACTTGAAAATCTTCTTTATTTGTATAAAATATTGAGGGGAACTTATAGAGATTTCTATTCATTTGGGTTGGGGGACAATCATGATATAAGTTTATCTATAGATTACAATACTACGAAACCATAAACTTATAAAAAAAAAATTCTTCACCTTTTTCTTACGGCTGGTACAACATGTGGACCACTTGTGATGGTGCGACATGGTATACCGTAAGCAAAAGTTTAAAGAAGAACCAAAACTTTTGCACGTGAAATTTAGCATATAATTTAAAAATTTAGTTAACTAAAAAAAATATTTTATGCAATTTTTGTAAATCATAAGGAATTACCCAAAAATAATAACAAAATTCGTTCTCAAAATGTTCCCAAGTGTCCCCAACAAAGATTTCACTTACAGGAAAACCAACGATGGGGCATAATTGTACTTCACATGCACATTTTGTTCAACGAAAAATTAACAATTTATTTTCTTCGAAGAATACTATTAATTTTTACCAAAGATAGGACACGCGGCTACGATGACCCAGCCCTTTTTGTCAGTAGATAATACTGACATAAGCGACTATGACAAAATATAACTACATATATCATAAGCAAACAGAATTAATATATGTGCTCTCATAAATTCGAAAATTGTAAGAGCTAAAATAAAATCAGACAGGATAATTTTAATGATTCAATTTTTACAAAGGAAATACAAAAAGTTACTAAAATATTGAAAGAAACATTAAAAATAATTTTCTTACTTAACTGTTAGCGAATTAAAAATTATTCAGGTGTGTTAAATTTGATATTGCGTGTCTTGCCTAAATGAATGATTCGTCAAACCTGATTAAATGATTCATCGTCTAAAAAATACTGATTTATGGTGATCACGCAACCAATAAATATGTCAGCTTCAGTTAATATTGTGCTATTTACTTATTTATATTTGCATTGAAGAAAATATTTTAAAAAATATAGTTTTAAATATTTTTCTACGTTTTCGTTATTTCGCTTTCATGTCTATGAGGCAATGCAATTGAAATTTCGATCGCTTTCGAATTAGCCAAATCACTCTAATTTCTAATTCTGTAATTTTCTGTCTGTTGACAATCAATTGTCTTCTGACTGCTACAACCAAATTGGCATCAATTTATCGCCAAACAGTATTTATCTTCGATCAAAATTCAGAACAGTTTCCGATTAAGTAGATTGCTCGAATCTCATTTAGAATCGCCATAGGAAATTCATACTCAGTTAAAGTTCTGACTAACTAAAGTGCTCAAAACTCTATTGGAGTTCTGTACTGGATGAAAATATATGTTGCAATCGTATCCTAAATCTTACAAGCACAATTTATGTCACCAAATTGAACTTATTGTCAATCGAAATTTCGATGACTTTATGACTAGCTAGAGTGTTCCAGTTTTTACAGGTGCTTTGTATATGCTGCCAATACAAATAATTGCAATTCTTAAATGATTCAAGCAAACTTTTTTCCCATCTTACGTTCATTCGAAATTTCTACCCCTTTCCGACATAAGCAAACTGAAACAAAACTAAGATGAAGAAAATATTCGAGTAAAATAAATATTGCTAACAGCATAGGAAACAGTAAATAGATCGCGTGCAATTTCAGAATTTAGCGACGCTCTTTCGTTTGTTGAATGATATTGATGTTTAGTGTAGTATGTATCTGCGTTATAATATTTAATATATATATTTTTTTTAATTGTAGGATCAGCTTTAAAAAATAGCCTTCAAAACTTCTTCTATTTAAATTAGTAAGAGAGTGAAAAAGTTGCTTTGTTAAGTATGCTGCGAGCCATTGCTGGATATATTTTGGGAGGGATCCTTAGCGATCCACCTCAAGAAACCCTGGAATGTGAAACTCAAGAAGTAAATGATTGGCTAGTCGTCAATATGCCTAGTGAGTATAAAATAAATTGATTCACTTCTCATTAAATTAGTGTTTTTTTGTTTCATAAATGTAAAATTTTTCATAAATAGTGACGCATTTAAGTAATTATTTTTAGAATTTAAAAAGTGTTTAATTTACGTCAGAAGAAAAGGAAGAAAAATTGTTCAACTTCTTTTTTACATTATAATTTCATCACTTTTTTTTCATAAAATTTTTTTAAAACATTTGGTTATTACAAATTATATCAATGATTAAAGTTAACTAGCTCAAATGTAAATATACACTATCACGTAATTCTTTCTTTACTGTCCGCAGTATAATACATATAACCAATCGCTTTGATTCCAGCAGCCTAAGATTACGCGCACGTGACGTCAATTCTGTACACTATCGCATTACATCTCGTATTAGTACATGTATGTAGGAATCTTCAGTTTTTTCTTTTGTAATGTTGCGGATTTAACGAGATTATCTCCAAAGGTGACCCAGGCCACAGCTAGCTTAATCTATTATTCTGGATATGTTTGTATATAAACTCAAAATATATCTACATAAACTTCTAAATTAGAATAATTTTTTTAATCTTTTTTAAAGTTAATTAATTGCTGTATTTATATATAATTAAACATGTTGGTTTTTATATCATATAATTGAAAAATTTTGTTCCTGATCTGAATTGCATTTAAAAAAAAGTGTTGTGGATCCAATGAGAGAACAGAGGAATGAGACTAACGGTAAATGCGAAGAAATGCTGCAAGTGATTTATTTAAACTAACGTTGAAATCCAAACAAAACGTTTACATTTGGATGGTTGATCGAAAAGGCAACCACTTTCACCATTCAACAGACATTGCAAAAATGTAGGTCATTAAGAGGAGAAATCTACCATATTCATAATTTTATTTTTGTTTAGTTTAAAACAATCGCTTAACAGTCGATCCATATAGGCTTTGCGACAATCAATGTTCAAGTCCTTGTAATTCTGAATCTAAGGCAAGGAAACTTTTGAATCAAGCACTGGCAGAAACCGTCTAGTGTGGAGGTCGTGCGTTACACTAAAATTTAAATTATGAAAACTTATTATGATTAGCCCGACGGAAAGGAAGTTTTGACCTATGATGAGTATAACGCTGGGAATATGTCAGCACTGTGGACGATGCGATTCGGTAGTAATACGAAAATGATGGAAAATAACATTTATTTATCAAATGCATCATAAATGATGATACATTAATGAAAAATAGATGCTACATTTTATGGAAAGGTGTTATAATTGATTTGGTTTCAAGCCGTGCCCGGCTTATAAAATCCCAGGACACACTTTATAACAAAACATAATTCCTGATACATCTAGCTTTATCATTTTAGAGTAAAATTAACCTGCATAACGCAAAGCTAAGGAAAACAAATAAAAAAATTTTTAAATCAAAAGCATCGTTCTAATTTATACATTTCTTTTCCAGATAAACTTGACGAAAGTGATTTAGATTTCGAAAGTGATACTGAATCTGAAATTGATGAGGACGACATCTTAGCATGCTTGCCAATATTGATGACTGTTGACGAACTGGAGTATAATGACTCTCTGGACGCACAAGTATCACTAGACAATATTCCTCGTTCGTCTCTAATCCCCGAGGACATTATGAGGGGCAGTATGATATTGCAATACAACTCTGCTCAATGTGCGAGTGATTTGCTCGCCAATGAAAACACTTACGTCTATCCCTATCTTCCGCAAAATAAATGTTGTCAGTTGATGATAACATACCCTGGTTATGAATACTCTTGGAAGGATTCTTTGGACAAAACAGCGGCTGTTAAGATATTGAAAAAATTGAGAGCTTATCGTCAAGAGAATTCAAAGAAATCAAATACCAATCCTGAACTTACCTGCAATCCTGTTCAAACACCTACCTACATCAATCATCGTCCACCAGTAGCTTCTTCTAAAACAGGTAATTTTCTTTTCTTTTTCAAATTTCAACAAAAAAAATAGAAATTAAGAATTGCAATAGAAAATATTTTTCATATTAAATAAAAAAGAAATAAAATCTGTCTTCCTCAAAGATAGAGCCTATAACCTACTAGCTATAAAGCGAACGTCTTAACCATTGCACTACGCATTCGTATTTTTTGCATATTTTTTTCCCTTCATTTTTATACTAAAAGAGCTAATACTTATGGGGGAGTTATATCTTGACCCAAAGGCAGCAGTTGCGCAACACTTTTTCACCATTCTAATGTTTTTGACCGAGCTCACTAATTTTCAGCTTGATTTTGTTTCCATAGCAGGTTTGCAGATTCCTAGTATGATTAACCAAATACACAATAATGTCTATTAAAAATCAAATGATAACAAAATATTTGAAGACATTTTACTGAACACCAATTCAGGATTTTCTGTAGTGGTCATTCTTAACATACATTTTTAGAATACTTGGCAAAAATGAAGTAAAACAAAGTCTACACACGAGGGGGCAGCGAATAATTATTGAACTAGTGTAAAACAAAAACGCTATCGAAATCTTACAAATTACCACTGCAGAATCCAGAACTGAAAATTTCAAAACATGTTTGATTGCAGGTGAAAATCACATCGAGAAGTGGAAAGGTGATTATTTAAGTTTTATTCTTTTTTTCCTAAGCTGCCTTCCGTACTAGTGACTCCAAAAGTATCCATGGTGTTTTTGCTTCAGTTGTCGTTTGTAACGACACTTGGACAAGCCAGACTTGCCAGCCATTGGTCTTTTACAAATTAAGTCAGTAAGGTGCGCATTTCGTTTACAAGAGAGCATCCCAAGGGTGAAAGTACGTCTTGATTCAGAACCCCGAGGATAGATGGCAGCACCACTTTTATATATTTGAGTAACCGCTTATTCAATTTAGACATAGATTTGAAGGGGAAGGAGATTTTATCCAAATCCTTGTACGCATGGTACTGATTAGCAACCGACCACAGGACTTTCGATTCCACAGATTTTACAAGCACGTATACTACATATACTCGGTGGGTCTTGTGAAGTCGAGGATCGAACCCCGGACCCTTCGTTCCGGGGTCCTTTAACCACTGGGCATCAGCCCGTTTTTGTTTCTTCCTAGCTTTATGATTAATTTGTGACTTCTAATGAGCTTATTTTATTTGAACTCCTTTTTAGACGAATTCAATAAATATACGCCACAGCTAAAAAATCTTAGTGTTTTATTATTTATAGACGCATCCTGTTAATATATATATATATATATATATATATATATGTTTTTTAATTCTATTTACAGATCTACTGCAACAAATCAAAGAGATCCAGCCATCCCAAAAAGCCAAAGAGATCGCCTTGAAAAAACACGTCACTAGATCACAGCTCAACAGACAAAATAAAAACTATATTTATTGCACAAGCGCTAAAACGAACAGGCGAAAAGACTTGCAGCGAAATCATTCCGGAGCGAATAACAATCGCAAATGTTATTAAATGAGTATTAATTCTCTCTAATTTTGAAATAACCCCTTTTTTCTGGCTTGTATGTCCACCTTTTTCTCTCGGCTTAAAAAGTATAATTGAGTAAGGAAAAAATTTACTCTTATAATACTTTTATTTGCGTTACATATTATTGTTTTAAATTGTCTTATAGCAAATATATTTATTTGAAATGTTTAAGTATAATTTTAAATCGAAATATTTTATGTTTTTAATTAAAATATTTATACACTTTAAAGTTTTAGTTTTTTTTTAATTGCAACTTAAAATTTATCTTTACGCTTTCAATCCAAATAGAGAGCTACGTATTTTAGTTTATATTACCATAAAAAGTACTAAATGGAAGTACATTTTGTAAACTTGTCACTCAACTAGACATATCTAAAATTCTGTCGTTCTAAAATTATTCAGACAATCTCTATTTGTTATAGAAACTCTATCATAATTCATTAATAAATTATATCGTTGATTATGAAATGATTAATAAAAAATTAACATTTGTTAAAAATTTATTTCTGAGATTGTTAAATTGTTTAATTAATTAAATTTGGAAATAGAAGCAAAGCTTAAGTACTCTTACCCAGATAGCAGGCGAACTTATGATAAACGTTTTAGTTTCATTTGGTTAGCATAGAAAGGCTAATTAATCCTTTTTTACGCTTAGTAGAAATATTATTATGCCAAGCTTGTTTCCTTAAATATTGAATAAATAAGCATGCAAAAAACTTACAAAAAAATATTTTTTAGCTTTTACTATAAACCTTGATTGGCCCTTTTTTTTCATTCTATCTTTGTTTAGGTTCTCAAATGCAACATTTTGTTGGTGTTGAAAACTTAATGATCAGACCAACCTTCACTTTTAAAAAAGTTACAGAAAGTATATAAAACCTTGTCTCAGTGATGGTCTAAAATAAACCATGAGAAGGTGGATTAATCTTTGGTTTGAGAACGCTATCTATTCTTCATTTGCAAATGACGATTCATCCTCGATTTCAGGAGGTTTTTCTACCCTTGTTTTGTAAAGGCAGATTCAATCTCGATATAAAAGGGTTGTAAATACTAGCCTCATGCGAACCTCAGAGAGTACATTAGCATAGTTTAACATTGTTTCAAGCTTGCATGGTTCATTTGCTTATCATTTATAAACCTTGAGTTTTGTGGTAAAGGTTGTTGCTGACATTAAAATCAACCTTACACTGCTGTCTGGGTATTACTCTTACTGATTTGAAAAATGCAAATATTATAGTGATCGCTAATTATAGAGAATATGATAATAAGCAAAGTGAAAAATTTTTAAATAAAAATCGTAAATAAAATTTTATGCAAGTTCGGAACTGTTAAATTTATTTCAATATGTCATTTTGAAACGGATGATCGCCATTTTTATAAATCACTGCATAAAAGAATTGTTGAATTATGCCGTACAGAGAGTAAAATTTTATAAAAATTGCATGAAGCTTCCCATATAGGGAAAAAGTTCTTACAAGAGAAAGATCAAAGGGGAAAAAAATCACTACGTAAAAATAACCATTGAGTTATAGAATGTAAATAGTAAAAATCGTTTAGGGCTATTTTAAGAAGGGCATTAAACTATAATATAGTCAAATATTTAACTTTCACTTCTTTTATAATAAATGCAAATCATTTTATCCACTAGTCATAATCTTTAATGACACAAAAGTTCAATTAAATGACATTATTTTATTATGTAATAACTTATCTATTTTATTGTGTGAAATGACAGAGTTTAAAATAATTCCTTGAGCTTTTTTAAAATCAAGAGTTATTATAAATTACTTAAAATAACATGTCGTATTCTTGTAGCTTGAATATCCCTAACACGATATATATTAAACGTTCTCTAGTTAGTTAAGGGAAAAATTAAAAATAAATTCAGAATTTGAGCTTTTGTTGACTAATAAATGACGATCTCACTTGCGTTGTAATTTATTATACCCATATTATGAAATAGTGATATATAAAAGAGCATCGTTTGATTCAACAGAAATCTGTAATTAAAAGAATGCTCTGCTAAGTATTTATCATATTTGCCGAAACTTTACCAAAACTTTTATAAGTCAGTTTAAAAATGAATGAACAATTTCTAAAAAGTTCTGGAAATAATTTAACGCTTGCAAAATCTAGAAAGTCTGCAACAAATGTTAGAAGATGGTGAACCATCATGCAGAAAGCACCAGCAATGTATATAAAAATAATAATTTGATTGTTTAGTGAATAGTTGTTTAGTTAGCAACAATAACTTGTTTGTACCATAAGCTTTGTACTGCCACAAATATTTAACAAAATACTGATCTATGTTTTTCTTTTGTTGTTCTGATGTCTTTTATGTGATGATATTTAATGTAAAATGCTATAATTCTTTTTATATGTCTAATTTGGTTTCTCAACTTCAGTCAATTTAATTCAATCAAATGTCTAATTCATTTGAGGACTGAATGGGGGAAAAAAAACATCAGTGAATTGTTGATCTATGTAAGATTTGCAGTGGTATATTTTAAAATTTCCTGTTCAAATGCATTATGATAATCAAAGGATAATCTCACAATCTAATCTTCATATCACCAGGTCGCTGAATTTCAGTTCAGAAATTAAGTTTTAAATATGGAAAACTGTAGAAAAGTTTTATGTTTATACTATAAATATTGATCGACGTTTGTAAATTACAGTGAATAAATAAAACAAATTAAAAGGAATTAAAAAAAAACAGGCAGTAAATTTATAACAGTTATTTGTAAATTATCATGTAGTCTACTTTTGTAAAGCTGGATCAATTTAAATAGGGTAAATTTTCATTTGAATTTTTTCTTTTTAACAGTTACTCCAACCTAAAGCTCATTTTCTGAATTTAGCTAAATATTTCTTTCAATATGTTTGTTCACTAAATCATATGTGAGGTAAAGCTGAAAATAAGGGAAATACTGAATAAAATACTTCACTAAAGAAGTAAAATAATTTAACTTAGTTTTGTTGATTTTAAACATGGCTTAAGGCCTCCCCTATGTAATATGCAATGCTAATCAATGCTGTGCCCTTCAGTATTAATTTTATATTAAGACAAAGTTAAAAATAAAAGCAGCCCAGTGAAGGTATTAAAAAAAGAATGAGCTGCTTGAATTGTTTATGAGTGCGCATCATTTAAAAAATATAAAGCCTACATGGATAGCAAAATGTTGAGAAACCAAATAATAATTCATTAACTGATTGAAAAGATGAAGTAGCATTATGTTGTCTGTTCAATTATATCACATAATTTATTTTCTTGGAAGCTTGAAAAATTGTTGCAATTCTACCTTAAAAATTGTTTTACAAAACTTTTGCTTATTATGTTATTACTTATTATAATTTGTAATGTGAATTTCTATTTATTGAACTTTTATGTAGTTTATTTGCGTTGCATATTGGCTGAATTTTAAATTATAAATGATTTGTAAATAGAATAATATATTTTTAAGTCATGAAATATTTATAAGTGGTAACATTTTATTTTATATTTCATAAGAGTGTACTGCATCCAGCACAGTTTTTAATTTTTTGTCATTGTTATCATGTTTTATCAGCATTTTGCTAAATATTTAATTTTCTCACCCATCACAACCAATAAAATATTTCATGGTTGCGAACATGCATTTTGCATCCTTGTGCTTTTTCTTTTCACGGACAAATTGACGGTTCTTTCTTTTAAGACAGAGTTTTACATGTATAACTGACAGAGCCCTAAAAATGGGGCTAGATGCTTCACTATGGTTGGGTGATTGCATAAGACAACTAAAAATAAAAAAAAACACTTTCACAAAATGGTATAAAATGAAATTCGATCTAGAAAATCTTTTGCCATGCAAGTGAGAAGTGTAAAATGTTCAATGGCTTTCAAATTGTTTATAGTGGGAATTTGAAAATTCGGAGACATATTTTTGCATAAAAGTTTGAATTTGTCTTTTGTATTATTTTGCATTCTCATACCTTGTTTTTCATGCACAAATTAAAACTTCTTTCAAATCTGAGGTCTACATGAAAGACAATTAAAAAAAAAACATTGTCACAAAGTAATATAGAATGAAATATATTTTTAAAAAAAATAATTAGTAAACAATTGTGATTAAAATATCCTTAGGGCTCAACATTTTTATAATGAGGACATGCAAATTTGAGGACATATTTTTGTATAAAAGTTAGAATTGCAGAATTATTTTGCAATCTAATACCTTTTTTTTCCAAGTCAAAAGTTGGCAATGAAAAGAAATGAAATATTCAAATTTGGGGACAAATTTTTACGTAAAAAGTTGGATTTACTTGCTAAATTTTTATTTTATTTTTGTCAAAAAGATCAATTTTGATGGTCAACTCTGAAAAAAAAAATCCAAAATAGTGAAATATCAAAAAGACAAAGTAAGTAGAATAAATGTTTTATTTATCACATTAGAAATGAAATTTGAATAAGAACAAAACTTAACAAAGATATGACTTAAACTGCCTACAACGTAGCAGTTGCTTGCATAATTAAATTAAAATAATCAACTATCAGAAAGTTTTGGCACATCTTACTTATATGTATTCAAATAATATTTACAAAATAAAAATATTATCACAGTGGAATTGTCCAAAAAAGAATTGTAAAAAAATTGGCAGAACATATTTATAGATCAGGATGGTCACAAACAAAAAATTCCCTGATTTATCTAGATGATTTTATCGAATTTCCCTTATTTTTGTAACCAGAGGAATACATTTCCTTATTTACTTTTCAGCTATGCTATATTCATATAAATGGAATATATATATTACAAAATGTTTATGCTTGCAATTAGAATTAAAAATAAACAATTTAAAAAAAAACAACTAAATGATAGTAATTTTGGAAGAAAAAAAATTGCATTTGCAGGTACCTCTATCTAAAATTAATTCATTTTCCCAACTTCTTCCCCTGTATTTGAGTTAAAATTCAAGATTGATAAAATTGCCTTATTTCCCTGTAGTGGTCATCCTGTATATTGTTATAAAAAAGCACTTTGAATTTTTCTTTTTTAGATTAAAAAAAAAAGTTCAAATAAATATAATAACCAACAGCAACTACCAACAATTATATTGGGTTCAAAAATAGATCCCATAAAATAACGAAACAAATTTAATCATAATTCATGATCAATTCCTTCACTAGACCCAAACTAGATTAAATATCATTTTTTTAAAATATAATAACGCTGTCATCATCCAAGCATTATAAATTATTAAATATAGTAAAACCTCAATATTTCGAACTTTCCGCACACTTTTTTTTCCCCTAACCGATCTATGTTAGGTCACAAAAAGTTTATAAATGAAAACACATAGGTGAAAAAAGGTGTAGTACAAAAACATATTTATACGATATATTTGTACAAACCAAGAAGATATTTCGCTTCATCAGCTACCATTTAAGTTTTAAAAAAGCATTGTACTATCACTTCAGATAAAAATATATAAATAATTATATTATTAATATCTAATGGCAGATAGAACCCAATTAGCAGAAAAATCTGTATTAATCTGCAACAGCATAAAAGAATACTAGAACAAATTTGCAGAGCATACCTTAAAATGTTAATATTTGAATGCTCCACACTTGAAAGTTTTAAAAGATAAAACTACTAGTACATTACATGATAAATTAGCTGCTTTGCTAAAATAGAGAATTTAAAATTTAAATGACTGATTTAAACTAAATTATATAATGGCAGATAGAACCCAATTAGCAGAAAAATATATATAAATCTGCAACAGCATAAAAGAATACTAAAACAAATTTGCAGAGCATAGTACCTTAAAATGTTAGTATTTGAATGCTCTACACTTGAAAGTTTTAAAATATAAAACTATTAGTACATTACATGATAAATTAGCTGCTTTGCTAAAATAGAGTACTTCAAATTTAAATGACTAAATTATATAATGGCAGATAGAACCCAATTAGCAGAAAAATATAGATAAATCTGCAACAGCATAAAAGAATACTAAAACAAATTTGCGGAGCATACCTTAAAATGTTAGTATTTGAATGCTCCACACTTGAAAGTTTAGAAGATAAAACTACTAGTACATTATATGATAAATTAGCTGCTTTGCTAAAATAGAGTACTTAAAATTTAAATGACTAATTTAAACTAAATTAGAGAAAACAAAAACAGTTTTAACTTAATTTTATCAAAAATTTTTTGAAATATTTGGTTGGTATGCAATGCCAAAATAAATTTGCGACATTCATCGCACTTGTTCTGTTAACGAAGGCAGAACAATCTTTTTTCTGAAAATGAACTCGAATAATGAAATACTTAGTCTACCACTCCCCCCATTTTTTTTAAAAGGAACTGTTCTATAAAAAGAATGATAGGAACAAATAGGTTTATTTTAAAATATTGCCATAAAGCTATAAATCATAAGCCATAGAAGAGATTATTTTGTATGAGTAACAAATAAATATTTTATTGGTTGGTTGCTTTGGTTTTCCTAAAGACATCTGAAAGTTGTAATTTTCTTTTTTCCTCATTAGTGTATTTCAATTTAACTAACATGCTTTTCCTTTCTGTTAAAAAGAAGCACTCAGTACTGGAAAAACATATATTGTAATAAAAATGGAATCAGAAGAAATCTTATACAGAAATAAAAATCAATGAAATCAACCTTAATCAGTTAACGATTTGGAAATAGATGCTGCTTTGTACAAATGATTTAATTAAAAAAAAAGGGGGAGCAATCTGGAGCAATAGTACAAGCTAATTTTATTTAAAAAATATATATTTATACATATTTGTCAAAAAGACATTTAATAAATGGTTGTTAAATTAAATACTGCATAGAATTAAATATTATTGGAGAAAATTTTCAATACCTACCCTATTAATAGAGAAAAAACCTCAATTTTCAGATTTAATTCACAAAATTAAATAAAAAAAAAACTGTGTTACATCTATAATCTGAATTAGGGCCAGTTACAAATAAGTTTGATAATCCTGGTCTTACTCTGGTTAAAAATAACTTGCACAAGGAAAGTAAGGATATGTCCCTCTCAATAATTTCAGACAAATAAAAAAATAATAGTAATAAATTATCTTTGATTTATGTAGAGCTAAGTTAAAAACAAGCTTTAAAAAAAATTAATTATTAATCCTTAGCAAATGAAAAAAACTTGTTTAAATTTTTTTTAAAGCATGAAATTTTGAGCAGCATTGCAACTACGTATTTTACTTTCAGCCCCTTCTATAACAGGATCCCAACAAGCGCATAATACTGTATTCATGTTTTACAAAGAAAGCTAGGGTAATTTTTCCATAATAAACTCATGAAAATATTACGCTTTCAAGTGGCAAGTTTTCTTGGTCATCGAACTTGTCATTCATAGGAAATTCATCCAAAAAGGAATCAATAAGTGATTGATCATTTTCCAAGACAACACTGACTTCGGGCAAATACCACCTTTTATGAAGTGAAGAAGTATAAAGTTTTTCTAACTCATTTTCAACATCAGAATTGGATGATTCTAAAATAAAAAACATATTTAAAAATTAATTTATTGAAATTTAAAAGCTTAAAATTATATTGCACAGTTGGAAAGTAGCTTTACAAATAAGAAAATAATAACAAAGAAACCTAAGATATATATATTTTAACACTGAGTGGCAAAAGACTAGATAGTTACTTGCCATTCAAAAATAGAAAGAATATTCTGAGAAAGTAATGTTCAGTGACAGAAAGAACGTCTGAATTCTTGATCAGTAGATCATCTAAATCAGGGTTTTCCAACTTACATGAGGTCACAGGTAGCAATTAAAAACACCAGTTAAATGGCGGGCCGCAACTTCATCAAAACATGATATTCATTTATCAAAACATGATATTCATTACCTCCCTTATGCGTTTTAAAACTTGCAAATGTAAATAATTTCTACCAAAATAAGCGGTTTGAAAAAGTTAAATTGGAAAATGTTTTGCGAAAACATTTCTGATATGCACATGTTAAATTATATTCACAAAATACTTCAAAAAAAAAAAAAACGAAATAAAAAAAGAGCAACATACACGATTATGTTTGTATTAGAATAAATATTTCCTTGGATTCAAAACCTGAGAAAAAAAAATTTCTGCACCGTTGGTATGATAAATTTCACATAAACGAAGAAATTAGTTTTTTTTTTTTTTTTTTAAACGAAAGAAAAGTATTTTAAACCCATATAGATTTTTTACGAAAATTTTCAGCAAAAAATGACAACTAATATATTTTAGTTCGCGGGCCACAAAAAAAAGGTTTCATGGGCTGGATAAGGTCCGCGGCCGCCAGTTGGTAACCACTAATCTAAATTATGGATAATGTTTCAAATATAGTTGTAATGAGTATATTACCGTCAAAGTGCAGAAATCAGTTATTCTACTGACTAGCTAAAGTGCATATCAATTAGGGTGATTCATTAAAGTGCCAAAAAATTGTTTCATTTCCGAATTTATCTACTTGATCTATAAACTACCTAGGAAATTTGCACATTACCTGCTAGGCACTCATTAAAAAGAAAATAAGATCTTTGTTGGAACAACAGCAACATTTCTGCTCGCTTAATTTAATTTATCTAAAAAATCATGTCAATACAATTAAATAATCAACACTTTAGTTGATAGAATAAATCATGTATCACTATAAAAAATATGACAAAAAGAATAAAATATTATAACTATTAAGGAAATTAACATGTCATTAATAGATAACATAGCCAAAAATAAAGCCAACCCCCCATAATCAATATCAAATTTGAAAATAATTTGACGAAGGCGAATCGTAAAAAAGATGAGAATTAGTATAACCACTAAACTGAAAATTTTTTGTAGTAAAAAATAAAGAATTATAAATAGATTTTTGTTTATGATTTAGTTGAGATAGTGAATTAATGAGTCTTACATTAGTATTAAAATAAAAAGTTAGGCGTTACATTGATTATTAAAAAAAGAATAAAATATTTTATATTCACTTTTTCTATATTGTAATAAAAATTAATTAATTGATTTAATTTAATTAAAATTCGGTTAAGAATGATTAAAAAAATAAGTCCAAGAAAATAAAGAAATTTTAAAAGCTAGGAAATATGTAATGCATATTGTAGCAACACAGTCATTTATTTATTTTTTCGTATCTAAAGAATCAAGACAATGCAATAAAAAAAAAAAGATTTGATAGAATGACAGAAGCAAACTTATGAATTTTAAAGATACAGAAACTGTTAATCAGCACATTATTTACATAAATTGCAGAAAAAGTTGGATTCCGCACATAATCAGATCATCTTGAAACTGATTGAACTCACTGTGCATCATTATCAGGGTTAAGACTGATGATGATGATGCCCTTAGTACTAAATGTCTGAGATAATGTACCCTGTCTATCTTAGTTAAATTCATTATTTGTACTTTTATATGTTGTATAATTCCTTATTATAACTTAGTTAAGTTCTTCAGTGAGATTTTCAATAATTCTCAATGCAAGACGAGCATGACATCTATTTTGTATCTCTAGAAATTTACAGTAATATATTGAGTTACACAGGTTTTCGAATTTGAAAGTATCTTGTTCAAACTTTAAGATTTAAAATAATATAAGGTAGGTGAAAAAAAAATTTTTTTTTTTGCAGCAGAATTAAAACTGGTTACAAATAAGAATATTTGTTAAAACTTTGATAGGAGGTACCCTCATCAAACATATAATCTCAGAAATATGAACAGTAAAAAAATAAATGAGAAAAAAATCAGATAGGAACAGAGTAGGAGAAATATCATGAAAAAAAAAAGAAAAAAGAATTAAAAATGGATAAAAAAAAAAAACATGGAAAAAAGAGAGAATGAGGAGAAGAGAATGGAAAATCACATAAGTGTTTGCAGCAGTACATGGAAATTTTGTAGTTCCTATCCTATAGGTTAACCATCTATCGATTGCTGACTTTATCCTCTCCCAACCATTATCTTGTTGTCTATTTTTTATTCATTTTATTCCATTCCGAATGGTTTATAAGGGGATGACTTAATTAGAATTTTGATGTGTAGGTGATGTTTTAATAAACATTATAGTTAATAGTAATTTTTCAGATAAAATTTGAAAATTTGTTAAGATAACATGCTCACTGACATTGCACAGAATTCATTCCTCTCTCACTATAAAAAATGTTAAGACCTTCATAATAATATCCTAATAAAATAGCTAAATATTTTCTTTGAAAAGTCATTAGAAAACGTATCATTTTAATTAAAAGTTGTACTTTTAAGTTTTCATTGCTCTTGAAATAATCAACCAATTTTCTTCACTCATAGTTTAAAATAAATATGTAAAAATATTTTAGCACTTGCGAAGTAGTTTTGAGAGATGCTTAGCATTGATATAACTTTTGTCAATTTTTAAAAATTTCTCAAAAAAATAAATAACTAAGATTTGAAAAGAATTAAATTAGACTGGTACAAAGCAGATAAATTCATAATTTTAACTTAAATAAATAAGACAAAAAGTTTTTCACTTTTTTTTTTATAATTCGTTTTTTTTTTATAATTCGAATAAAAATGAAAACATGCTATGATTAGGCAATTTTTTTTTGTACTTAGTTTTTTAAACAATCAGAATTTGAATACTGTTAAAATAGTTGTGAGTAATATCAGTAAAATTTTAAAGAAATATTTTGCATGCATTACCTTGCAATACACTGCAAACATTGTTGAGAGAAGAATCATCAGTCGTCAAGTCCTCTGATTTAAAGCTATTTACAGGATATTCAACAAGAGATGTTTGATTATTGTTCTTGTTAACATGTTCCTTTAAATGAGCTTTTAAAGTTGACGTACAAATAAAAATGCTGGAGCATACACAACAAACATAAGCTGGAGCTTTCCGGCATTTTTCAAAAAGCTTGATCTCTTCTGATTTTTGCTCAGAATCTACTTGAAGAACTGTTTTAGAAAGTTCACTTGAATTTTCAGATAACGATTGCAACATAAGTTGGTTATTAGAGAAATTTAGTGACATTTCTGACATCTTAAAAGTTGTAGAGCGCTGTTCGGTCATGTTAGGATCTGCTATATTTGATTGCCTTAAACATTCGTCAAGAATATCAAGTTTATTGTGACAATTTTCTAACATAGAAGCATTACCAAGGTGGAATTGATCAACATTGTTAATGGGTAGTATCTTTTCTGGACTGGTGGAGGGTGAAAGAGCTTCATTCAAAACTGAGTTAGAATTCAGAATGTTTCGCGATTCGGATTGCTGAAATACACTATCAAACATTTTAACATTCTGATCATTATTTTTTTGTTGCAATAAATTGCTTAACAATAATTCTACTAACTGATCATTTAGTGGTTCTATCCTGACACTGCAGTTCAAAAGCGATGATAAAGCTGGCGTTTCTGTGAAACTCATGTTTTCAAATGTATTTTCAGGTGTTTTCAGATTTTCTTGGGTTTTCAATTGTTCTGATGAAACACTAGAAGAATGATTTTCCAGAATTGGTTCTGAAGATATTGACTTGTTGGTCTGTATTAACTTTTCTGGAGTGGTAGATACAGGTACAGTTTTACTTAACATTGTATTAGTGTTAAGAATATTTTGAGATTCCGACTGTTGATATACATTATCAAAAAGTTCTACATTTTGTTCATTTTTTTGCTGCAACAGATTGTTCAACATTACTAACTGGTCATCTAATGGTTCTATAATAACACTGCATTTTAAAAGAGAAGATAAAGCTGGAGTGCCTATGTCTTGAAATGTATTTTCAGGCATGTTTTGGTTTACTTCCTGTGTTTCTATTTGTTCTGATGAGACATTAGAAGAATGATTTTCCAGAATTGCTTTTGAAGGGAAGGCATCATTATTGATGGGTGGATACTTTTCTGGAGTAGTAGGTACAGACATAGGTTTACTCAGCATTGTATTAGAGTTAAGAATATTTTGAGATTCTGATTGTTGATATACATTATCAAAAATCTCCATATTCTGAGCACTTTTTTGCTGCAAGAGATTATTCAACATTACTAACTGTTCATTTAATGGTTCAATTCTAACACTGCAATTCAAAAGGGATGATAAAGCTTGTGTGTCTGTGAAATCTATGTTTTCAAACGCATTCTTAGACATTTTTTGGTTCACTTCTTGTGTTTGCAATTGTTCTGATGATATTCTGGAAGAATGGTCAAGAATTTCATGATTTTCCAGAACGGCTTTAGAAGAGAAGGATTGACTGCAGACGGAACACTTATAAATATACTGATGGTAATTGACTAGTTGGTCATCTAATGGTTCAAGCATAACACTGCAATCTAACAAAAGAGGTAATTTTTGGAATGATGCCACATCTGAAACTTCAAAAGAGTTTTCTTGTTGGTTTTGACTACCTATTGATGCAGAAGTAGGAATAACAGATGTATTGTCACAAATAAGGTTTTCAAAGCTTGTGCAACTGTTATTAAATGAGCTTTCAGATTCTAATTCATTAAGTTGTTTGCTTAGTATGACTTCAGGAGGATCATCAATACAAACATTAGATTCAGATAAAATCTGATGACCAGATGTATTTATATTATTTAACGAGTTTTCAAGTTCTTTTTGGCAAGCACTTTGATTACTTAATTGTTCTAAACTGCTGTTATTATAAGAATGCAAATATTTTGTATGTGTTTCAAATTTTGAATTAGAAGTAAATGTTTTACCACAGATTTCACATTTGATTATTTGTTTTGAAGACAATGATTTGACATACTTTTTACCACTAGCATTAGCATGATATTTTTTAACATGGAAAATCAATGATTTTAAGTTCTTGTACATATTTTTACAAAGTTGGCAAGAGACAGGAACAGTTGAGTGAGTTTGCTGAAATATAAATATATATAAAAAATCATATTCTTTTCTATATAATGTAGTATTTTACATTAAGCATTTGTAAAACCAAATACCTCATGGTCCAATAGATGGCTTCTTTTAGTACTTTGAAAATTGCATTGAGAACAAGTAAACAAATTACCAGTATGGGTTCTCATATGGGTATATAAGGCAGCTTTGACATTACATCTGTATGGGCATTTTGGACAAGTGAATGGTTTTAGGTCCGTATGAGTCAAGCAATGCATGCGTATATGACACAAGCTGTTAAAAATCTGCAAAAAAAGGTTTTTAGTTTTTTAGTGAGAGATTGCAGATGCCTAGCAGATGCAAGGATAGCGTTACCACAGAAAAGGATGCATTTATAATAATAAAATAAACACAAATTTTTTAAAAATAATTTCGGACAATCATTCTTCATAAATCAAAGTAATTAAGAAATTGTTTACTATCTTATCAGTCAGTATTTCTAGAAGACTCTTGTCTATTAACTTGTAATTTAAATTGTTTCTAGAAGAAATACTGACCACTAACAAATGAAGTTCAAAAATTAGAGCTATTTTTTTGTTGATAGGTATGAAAACAAAAAAGGTGCAGTATTTAGTAATCCGTTTTTCCCAGACACGCTTCATAAAATTGCACAATGCCTTATCACGCAAACAGATATTACATTATTTACATTTATTTTTTTTCATATATTCAATGTTTAAACAGGGTTGCCACTCAAATCTGGAAAAAAAATTCCCTGTGCTTTCCCTGTACATATTATACACAATATATTAGGAGGAAACAACAATTACTGTGCTCTTGTGTGAACTATATTGGGCTAACTCTATTTATTAGTTTTAATTACTGGAAAGACAGCTGAACACACTTAAATAATGCTATAGTAAATGAAATAGTTTAGTATAGCTGAAATATAATGGTTAAATATCCCATAGATTACGCTTTGAGTGGTCACCATTTTTTAAAACACAAAAATAGTAAACAAAATTCCCTGTATTTTCCCAGTATGTAAAGAAAAAATCAAAATTCCCTGCATTTTTCCTGTTATTTTAGATGATTTTTAAATTCCCTGCATTTTCCAGGTTTTCCCTGTGGAGTGGTAACCCTGTTAAATTTAGTTTTCCCCCCGAGCAGTTTACACAATGAAGGGGCATGTCTGCAGCTAAGTGCATTGCGTTGCACACTATTAGACGAGCTGCTGCAAATCATTTCTTTTACAAAAATCAACAGTCTCTTCCAAATTATTTTGGAAAAAGAATTCTTTTTCAGCCCTCACAATTTGGCAATTACGGGTTTTGTTTTGTCTCTAAGGAAGACATTTAGTCGTGATTTGGTGCATCTTAAATCCACATCAATTTCTTATAGTTTGTTCAGCATATTTATCGTTTTTACAATATCCACATGATTTTCCAAGTTCCAATATTTTTAAGTTTGATATTAAGACACTTGAATTTCGAATTTGAGTAATTTTCTAACACACTAGAGTTACAACTGTTCCCTCGTAAATCTGTATGCTTTTTCGGATCATTTATTAGATATTTATCTATTTTTTCATTGCAAGCATTTACCGTTTTTTAAGCCATTTCCACATGGTTTTTCAAATCCTGTAAGAAATTGTAATGTAATTACCACATACGGTTTTGAATTTTAGCTATCACTTTTGACACACTCGTTTCGCGACAATTGAATTTCTCTTCGAATAGATAATTTAGCAGTTCTTTTTTTTTTTGGCCACTTCCATGTGGTTCTTCAAATTGCGATATATTTAATCTCATAATTATTTTTCACATTACCTGCTTGTTTGAAAACAATATCTTTTTAAATAGTCACCATTTTTCTGAAAAAGAGTTGTTCCATTAGAAGTACCATCTAAAAATAAACTTTGTAACTAGTTTTAAGACTTGGGAAGAAAAACATGCTTTTTTAAGCATAATGTAGCAAATCATACATTTTTATTTGCTTCTGCTTTCCTTTAATTAATTTGTCAAAATATTGGTCATTTTGGGACTAACAGTTTCAAACAAAATATATTAAAGTAAGCTAATATTAAAACTTTAAAAGCATAAATAAAACTGAATAAAAAATACTTTTTCACATGTAATGCACATGTATTTCATGCCAGAATCTAGCTTCCTTCTTTTATTGAATAAAACTTTGGATTTAATTTCAAGCTTATTGAATAAAACATCAACGCAACTGTAGTCAATGGTTTTTAAATGTTTCTCAAAAGCCTCCTTCTCACTTTCTGAACTGAAAAGTGGAACATACAATGGTTCATCTCTCCAATTTGATACTGTTTTAGCAACTTTTTCCAGTGAATCTCCTTCAAGACATTCTGAAAATAAGAAAATTGAAATATTTAAATATAATATGCGTTTCAAAAATTGTAATAAAGAAATAAAAATGTAAAACTATTATTTACAATCATATTGGGTAAAACATAAAATAGTGTAATAGAAATTTTTTTCAAACACAGATGTTGTAACAATGTAATATTACAAAAAAAATGTATAAAAATATTCTATGTGCTTCATATAAAGGGGATACAGTTTCTAATTCTAGCTTTAATATACATTTGAATAATTTTTCTCACTTTACAATGATTAGAGTGCTGATATAAAATAAAAAGAAATAAAAGTGAAGTAGAAAAAAGGGAAGACAAATGAGGTATCTCAAGTTTATTATATTCTGAAGATGATAAACTTCGTAGGGGAAAATGAAGTCTCATTGCATTAGAAAACCATAGAAAGTTTCTTGGTTTATGGAGCATATAACAAAATTATGTTATTTTCACTTAAGGTCTTCTAGGAAGGGAAGCAGTCTTAATTTTTATGACTCTAAAATTTCAACACAGACTAAACACATAAGTACTCTGAATCCATTTAGTGGATCACTGATGTAACTCAAGTTCATAATATTGATTTAAAAGGGCAAAGAGGAGTTCAAGGCTTACGTTTCAAATGGAGAGAAGCAAAAATCTGTTACTTTCTCAATGTTTAAAAAAAATTTCTTTATAGTAGTAGAGGTTCTTAAGAGCTTTATGGTCACATTTTCAAGAATACAGTTGTCACTGATCTCATTTTAATGAACAATACACAATTATATTGTGCTCATTTGCTCAATGATTTTATAAAAAATTAAGATATCAGCTGAAAGACTAATCAGACAGATTTCCAGAAATCAATACTATAGAGCCTGCCTGAGATGTTTAGAGGAAGGCAGTTGGAACTTGCAATCAGTGACAACCACTCATGGCATGAAAATTTTGTTACTGAATAAGTTAAACCAATTGCCACAGGATCTCCTAAAATGCCTCATTTCCAGAATGAAATCTAACTTGACTGTGAGAAGAGACCATAATTTATGATGTGCTATTTTTTCTTGATCGATTCTGTGATCCCTGTTTTATGCCTTATGACTAAAATAAGAGTTACATATGATCATGACTTTGAATTATTGGGGGAATTTTTTTTCGTACTATAACAACTTATATTTCATTCAAACATGTTTATTAGTTTTGAAGATAATTGAATCGAAAAATTTTCTCGGTTAAGAAGAAAGTTATAAAAAGATTTGACCACACATTCTCAGATAGAACATTCAAGTTTAGATAAACATTACCAGAATGAAATTAAAAAAAGAAATTAATAAGCTTGGTAATCTTTCAAGCTTATCAGAAAACTGGTGCAGGTAAAAAAATAAAAAAAATGCAAATCAAGTTTTCAAAGCCACATATTAATTTTTCATTAGACTCAAATTACATTATTTACAAAAGTCTTTTTTTACTTTAATTAAAAAAAAGAAAGAGGCAATGTGTTTTAAAATCAAATTTCATTGCTCTTAAATTCTACAATAAAATCATTATTATCATCAAAGATTTAACATGAATGAATTAATATTTATTGCACTTATATATATATATATAT